ATCACTTGAACCAGGAAGCGGACTTTGCAGTTCGTATATAACAATCCTGATTTTTTTTCAGCACTAATGATTTCCTAAAGAACATTTAGGGAATAGTTTAGAAAATAAATACGTAAACTGTTAAATTCAGTTCTTTTCATTTAACCTTTAACCTCTGATAAAAAGTAAATAGATCATAAGAAAACAAAGTAACTTATAAAATAATGAAGCTCATTCTTTACAACAAACTAACTAAAAATAAATGGTATCGTAAATCAGTGCACAATAAAATTAAATTCATAACGATTAGAATGAATTCCTTCATCATTTGAATACCCCATTAATAACCTTATTTAATTAAGCACGACAATAAACTAATTGGTATATTTAATTAGCTTTCTGTAACATGAAATATTTCTTACTTCTCTTTTCAGTGATAATTTATCCATCATTTTTACAAATTAGATTATTATCAAGAATATTAATTTACTGTTTATATCAGTGTACACAATGAACAAAAATCACGTAAGTAAAATTAACAAATCTCTTTAATCTTGTTACCAAATTAAAAGTCCCAACACCCATCCGCACTCCACTCTCAAAATGTTTCTTTCTTTCTACATCTTCAAAGTCACGAGTGTTCAGAATATGTAGACATTCTCTGCAAAATAAACATAATTATTGTATTGAAGAGGTAAAAAAGTAAATGTAATTATTGTGTTGGAAAGGTAAAAAAGTAAATGTGAGAAATTTTTTGAATACAATATTAATGAGGAGAATTTATTTTAATAAAACAAAATAATCTGTTAGACATATACTTACTAAAAAGATCACTAGTCTTATCTATTAAAACACAGCTTTTGAATAAACAGTTCCCTGCATAATAACCATTTTCGTTAAGATCAAACTTCAAAGTAATAGTTTCTAGTATACGGGTAAGCGCACATTTTAAAGAGTTGCGAATATGATCTACATTAATTCATTATATCTTTACAAATAATTCACTTTTAAAGTTTCTTTATTAAAAAACTTGCGTATGATTATTTTACAATACGCACTGTATAAACATTTAATTCAGGAGCTTTTTTTTTGATATAAGGCATTTCTTTTTCTCTTTTGAAATATTACTGGCTTTATAACAACAGTGTAGCATCAGGTTCAAAGGAAATGAAAATATTACTGGCTTTATAACAACAATGTTGCATCAGGTTCAAAGGAAATGAAAATATTACTGGCTTTATAACAACAATGTAGCATCAGGTTCAAAGGAAATGAAAAATATTACTGGCTTTATAACAACAATGTAGCATCAGGTTCAAAGGAAATGAAAATATTACTGGCTTTATAACAACAGTGTTGCATCAGGTTCAAAGGAAATGAAAAATATTATTGGCTTTATAACAACAATGTTGCATCAGGTTCAAAGGAAATGAAAATATTACTGGCTTTATAACAACAATGTAGCATCAGGTTCAAAGGAAATGTTAAAAAACTTTTCTTAGTTTTTCTTACGGGTATCTTTCTTATCGTTTGATATATTCAGTATTAAAACAATATACTTGTGAATTATTGTTTCACAGAGAATACTGTGTAAATATACCAAAATATGTTTATTCGTTGATAAATAAAATACCGGACCTTGATATCTTAGTATTTAAACATCAATTCTCAGCAATTCCATTCAAACAGTTAACAATCCAAGGCCCAGTACAGAGCTAGTCCTTCTAGTTTTGTTTATCTATACAAACAGCAAAATGATAGAGAAAGTCAACTATAGAAATCAGTGTACACATATTTTTCCTCATGAAAATATGGAATTTTGATAAGAGGTATTTTCTTGGTTTTTGGAATTTAAACAGATAGAAAGTTCTTCTATTTTGTGTGTGTGTGTGTGTGTGTGTGTGTGTGTTGTAATAATGACAGTTAAGGTAAAGTAAAAAGAAACACACACCGTTCTATAAGATGTGTAGCACCAATAAACTCATTAAAATATTTATAAGGTAAATGTAAACAAGGTAATATATTTATTGTAATTTAAAAGAGAACATACACCACAAGCAAACAGGAAGTCACAAAAAAGTATTAAAAATCCGATAAACTGACAGCGGTAAATTTACGAAATTACAATGCTAAAATCTGGGGTTCGATTTCCCGTAGTGGACAGAGCGCAGATTGCCCATTGCGTAGTTCTGTGTTACATCTACACATAATGCAAAAATGTTATTTCTGTTTATACAATAATTCTTGCTAGTTAGTTGTCCTGTAAATTAAGGTTAGTGAATGCATGTGCTTGTATCCTAACATAAACAGAAAAACTGTAATATACGAAGAAATAAATCTCCATTCTCATCAAATATATAAATGCATTAATATGGATTATAAAATCACGGTGCTTATACAATTTATTAGCCTGTTTGAAATCGTTACATAACTACAAGTAAGTAACCTGATTTATCAACTAAAACTGATATCATCGTGGAACGCCCAGTGGGAGATTTTTTTACGATAGACAGACAAATAAAATAAGTGTCTTGACATGTTCTTAACATTAACAACCGTTTACACTTAAGAGGTGCAATTTTACATTAGAACTTATGTTTATGCCAAACACAGGTTTAGTGGATTATCACATGACTGAATAACATTTAAAAGCACACGAATAACTGCAAATAACTTCATCCTTAACTATTTATGTTCGATATTTTTATTATCGGTTGTCTAAAATACTTCATTAATTTATTTTATTTATGTAATACATTTAAATAACAATTTAGTTTTAAATATAGTGCATCAAAATTTGTTGGATTTTTCATTTTGTAGTTAAGCACAAAGCTAGGCTATTTGTGCTGTGCCTACCACGAATATCGAAACCCGGTTTTTAGCATTATAAGTCTTCATACTTACCGCTGCGCTACCGGGGGGCGTTTATCAAAGTGTTAGTTTGTTTTAGAGAAAATCCACATTAGGCTATCTATTGTATCCGCCGCTGGGAATCGAACCCCAAATTTTAGCTTTGTAAACTTACCGCTGTTCCACCGGGAGACGGATCAGAGGGTAAGATGTAATTGTAAAAACCTAAATGTAGTTACTATTGTTTTTAATTATATGAATTAACCCAAATTTTAAAAATTGTGAATCAATAGTTAAACTTATGTAATCAATATTAATAAAAGAATGAGAGAGGGGGGTATCGCTTTGCTATGGTTCCTCTGCTAGATCTGGCCAATTTAAACACTATTCTTAAAAAAAACTTCATTATAAATCTTTTTTTTAAGTAATTATGAAAATACTGAGTCATCATGCTATATTGTAGACTAACTGAATTATTGGGTGTAGAGCAACTGTATTATTGGTGCAAAAGTGTAGAGTAACTGTATTATTGGTGCAGAAGTGTGGAGTAACTGTATTATTGGTGTAGAAATGTGGAGTAAATGTATTATTGCTTGTAAAAATGGACTATGATGTGTACAGCAGAATGATGATTTTTCATCAGTGAAAAATTGTAAGTAGTCGGCATCATATACACACACACACACACACACATACATACGTACACGCACACATATATATAATTTACAACTCGAGCCGAGTAGTCTCAATATACATAAAAACAGGTTTTAAAATCAACAGTTCATTACAATAAGAAAAGTGGTAAAAGCAGAAACGTTAGCAGTTCATAATAGGAATCGCAGAGGAATATGCTCCAAACCCTAATAGAACATTCGGGTAAAAACCACCTTAAAAAGCAGACTTATTCTTCAAACAACACTCAAACCTTCGTATTCAATAGTTAAGACTACTCAAATGTTGATAATAAGCAAAATAAGTGATTTCACGTTTGTACACAAAATCAAAATTTGCCCATTTGTTGATATTATTATTATTATTAATATTCTTGTTTCCCAAGCCTACAGCAAAATCAGCTGAGTATTTTGCACCAAAACCTAAACAGATATACTATATCAAACGCTGCGAATGCCCATTATATATTTAAAAGTTGATTATTTTTTATTGAAAGTTGATTTACGTGGTTATAAATACATAATAGTTGTGATGTTCTTATGAGTGTCCGGCTGCCTTTGTACTCGACTCGTGTTAAACGTGTTAACACTAAACCTCAGGCACAAAGCCACCTGGCTCAGTAAATATATACTTAAAAGACACGAAGCTATATTTAAAATTATGTTTTAGACTTTTTATTTGAAAAGGCTGTTTTTCTACTGGTAATTTTTTTTATACGTGCTTAATGGGGGCTGTGTCTTATTCTAGGCATATATTTGCCCATTGTTGTGCATTAAAAAAAGCCAACATGCAAGATAATTAAAAATTGAGAATTTAAAATATACAAATATGAATAGCAAAAGTAATCAAACAAGACTAGGGTTCTACTGCTGACAGTTTGAAGAAGTTACAAAACCCTATTATGACTCCACTATAAAATTATTGCAAGTGATATCTACTTGTTGGATGTACAAGACTGTTTAGTGTAAGTGTTATTTAGTTTATTTTGTGACTTAATATCTTATGATTGTTTTAAGTGTTAGTTGTGACAAATTTTTGTTACGTAACACTGTACGAGTTAGTTGTACGTTGTGTTTACAATTACATTGTTGTCTAGGCTTTTATTAATATTATTGACATCACGCTACTCTAACCTTCGGTATTTTTCTCGTTACCTTAAGTAAATATTATTATTCTATAACGCCGTTCGCATAGTTTATAGAAAGTTCGAGGCTTAAGTGGACAATATATAAATATAGACGACTAAGCGAGCGCAAGTCAAGTAGAGAAAAAGTGAAGTTCAGTCAGAAAAAAAAAAAGTTATAAAACGTGAAGTTAGCCGGCATGTGAGTGATTAGCCATAACTGGCGATTTTTTAAAGTGAGTTTCACAGTTTAATAGAGATAAGAAGAATCTGTCTTGTCAAAAGGTGTTCTAAAGCAATTGAACTCGTCTGTGTGGACTTTGACAAAAAGGAGACAGTTATTTAAAGTTCTAGATGCAACTGTGGTAACCCACCGGTAACGTAAGTGAATTTATCACAGATTATACAGTAAGAAACGGAGTAGAAGAAAATAATTATTGTCAAGTTGATTCTAAAGTAATTCAATCAGCCTGTGTAGACTTTTGACAAGAAAACAGAATTATTTAGTTTTAGATAAAACTGTGATTTCCCGTAGTGTAAAGAATTTTGTACATACATTTGACTTCTTTTGAATATATTATTTTAAAACAAGTAGATTGTATACTGTCCGTTTATTGTTATAATTTATCGCCAACAAGTCACAGACACCTGCCGTAGAAGAATCCAAGCCCATATACATAAAATACTGACACTACTATAGCGTGGGTTTGGTTTGTTTGAATTTCGCGAAAAGCTTCACGAGAGCTAATTTAGCAGTGTAAGACTAGAGGGAAGGCAACTAGTCATCACCACCCTCCGCCAACTCTTGGGTTACTCTTATACCAACGAATAGTGGGATTGACCGTCACATTATAACGCCCCCACTACTGTTTCTTATACTTAACTGAAATCGTGAGTGCGTCTTCACTATTTATTACCACTGCATATAGCACTATTTCATATAGCCATTACTATTTTAAATAGTTGTTGTTAATGTAGCACTTTTAAATATTATCGATAATTACGCTAAATATATCGCTGTTGTCTATTTTTCATGCATTATTTGAGTCGCCTTATTCTAGCAAACACTTGTGCACAGCAGGCTGTTGAAGAACATGTAGACCTAACAAGATAAGGATGTTACTGAGTCTGTTTACATTGCATTAATCCGTGTTGTATTATCTTAGAAGAAACATTATTCCGTTGTGATGAGATTGCTTATGCTGCTGATCTTTTGTTACATTACACTGTGATATTGATGGAAGCCAGTCATTAAATCTGTGATGTTACAACCTTTGCCTTCAAGAGGGTCATCTGAAAACAACTTACAACTTTTGTTTGTTGTAGTTGTATACCAGCACATTTGTTTATTCTTTGTTGTAGGTTTGTTATGTATTTTGAACAAGTTCAGTGTGGTGAAAAAAGCCAATGCATCAATAAACTGTTGAAAAAAATGTGCCATTCAACTGAACGCATACGCGCAAACGTAGCTTTAAAGTTATTTCTCCAAAAATGGAAATAAAAAAATCTCAAGAAACAAAGATTAGTAAAAAATTGTTAATTTAAAAAAGGAGGAAATAGTGATCATCAAAAAGAAGTACAGAAACAAACTGAATCAAAATGTAAAGATTATATTTTCAAACCTACAACTAGAGACTAAAATTTTAAAGTAAACTAACAAGGTTGGAAATAATGTCTACATTATTTTTTCAAGCTATAAATCCCCATCAACTTGTTTCTGTACTTTTTTGACGATCCCTATTTCCCTTTATTTATTATTTGCACTTTGTATGTAGTATATTCATAGTGATTTTATTAAGTTTTCTCAAGAAGCTTCACTTTGTAGGGTTGTTCAATTTAAGTTAATATAAATATTTAGTATTGGGGTTAGAACTGAAACTATGATTAACTAGAGTTCGCTTTGGTTTAAATAAACTAGAAGTTAGCTTGATTTATGTTTATCAAAAATGTTTTTTGCACTAATCAAATAAAGTGTATTTTGGGATCTGTTATAAAGTGTGCAACACATTTTGTTTTACTTTTTTGTTACAACTTCATTGAGCCTGATCTACAAACATTAGGAACCTGACATTCACAGTTTGTACCACAAAGATTGTGAACAATTAGTGTATCAAAGGATGATTCTTACTTGTAGGACTGATAGCAGTATCGAATCCTTAACCCTCCCTTGAGAAAGGTGTATAAACTTTGGTCATAAATAAAAGTTAAAATGGCGTTCATCAGCAAACATTCTGCATATGTTAGCTCAGCATGAACTTCCACTGCAAAAAAAAATACAAAGATTGAACTATCAGTGTAAATTCTATTATAAAAGGTAAACACTAAGTAACGTTGTTTATTCAAGTTATAATGAAACACATGCATTCCTAACAAACGTTAAGTTGTAAATATGGCAATTTTAACCCAAATTAACTGCTTTGTTCAATCTAAATAAAACAAATATATATATTTATTGAATAATATTCTAAAATATGTCTCTATTCTAACCTTATTCTCAATGTAAGGAGTGATATTTAGTTTTTGAGTTTCAAACAACTGGAACATAGCGAATAAGCGGACTTCTGCCTTTAGTGTTATACACTAACCTCAGTACCTAAACAGTGACACTCACCCTCGGTGTAGGTATTGTAATCTGGACTACGAAATATCCGAGATACTGTTGACACTTTCTTTCTGTATCTCTGAGAGACTTTAACAGCTTGTTTCAAAGCATCCATAGCCATCTCTATGTAACTCTGTTTTGTTATATATAAAAAAAAAAAAAACATATGCTAGACTTTAGAACAGTAGTTATCGTGTTTATTGTATAGAGTTATAATTCAATTCACATGAAGATTGAGTCAATCACAAGTAAATAAAAGTATTCATATTAAGTGAACAACTGGTTTACTTCTTCAATAACTGCAATAGCCCTTCCTGACTAAAAAAGCAAAATTGAGAAGCAGTTAGATAGTTTATTTTTCACCTTTATAATCGTTATTCATTTGCAAACAACCAGCAGAAAAGGGTAAAGATTTAAAAAAAAGGTTTTACTCACCAAATGGAAATTTCCTTAGCGAAATAATTATCAAATAATTAAGTACGTTTCTTACACAAAACCAAAGACATATCTACTAACCTAACATATAACAAAAGCATTTTTATCATGTTTTGAAAACTATACAAAAACAATGTACCAATTCCATTGTCATTACTGCTTGTATAAACAGCACCATTCCACGTCCTACTCCATGATAAATACTGGTATGTGCCCTAAAAAATAAAACAGATACTTCAAAGAGTGAAAAATATTACCTTATAGTAGACTAGCCTATACAAAGATATAAGCTTCCATACTAATATACAGAGGATGAGTCCGTTACATTTAAACGATTTTGGAGCCTCACCATGTCGTAGCAGTCCATGTGGCCACGTCTCGGTGGGCGCTATTGGACGGCGATATATCTTGACGATAACACCGCAGCGTAATTTCCGTTACAAAAGACTCAATCGTAAGGATGTCATGTCGAAAGCACATCCATCCTCCTTACTTACTTTCATAGGCCATCTAGTTAGGAGGACGACGGTTTCTCAGCCTTATTTCAACACGCCTAACGTCAAAATGTATTTCTGATACAGGCCTTTCCACCACGACTTTGTATCGGCTGTGTTTATCAGAGCCTTGCTAATTTGCATTCTCAAATTCATTTTCATGTAACATACTTAACCCTCTGTATTAAATTCGTTAACTCTGATTTTGTAAAATTTCTGAATGTTACCATTTCATACTTTTGTATTTATATCAGAATCAGCAACTAATATATGATACGCATATATACAATTATACTTGTCATTAGACATTAGCATTATATTTTTAAACACTACATTTTTATGTAGTCCCTTTTATGTAGTCAAGAATTAGAACAGTGTATAGTTTTGTTTGTTTGTTTGAAAATAAGTACAAATCCACATAATGGGATATCTGTGTTCTGCTCACCACAGGTATCGAAACCTGGTTTCTAGTAGTATTACAGCCACACTACATTCGTCATATCCATTGTCTACCACGCATTTCGTTCAATCCAAAGCTCATCAGGTTGGCTGGGACATGACAAACACAGTGATAGTCCGAACACTATTTATATAAGCCATTCGTTACAGAACAATTTTTATGGTGTGAAGAGCTCTGGAATGAGCGAAACGCGTCGTCGGCAATAGATATGGCAAGTATAGTGCTGCTGGAGTATTATTATTATTATTATTATTATTATTATTATATACTCTTTTAATTCTTTAAAATCCATAAAGGGTTAAATAAAGAAAATTTAAAATTTAATAGGCCTAATACACAATTGTTTTTGCAACAAATGGCTTATATAAGAAAGGTTCCGACCACTACTGTCTTTGTTGTATCCCAGCTGGTACGTAAAGTTCTGGATTGAGCGAAACGCGTCGATGGCAATGAATATGGTAAAAATATAGTGTGATTGGAATACTATTATTATATACTCTTCTAATCCTTGAAAATCGCTAAGAAACTATATAGTGTTCAAAAGTATATTAGGCCTAATACTATCTCTTATGACAAACATAATTATAGCCATGGTTCGCTAACTTGTAAAAGGCATTCACATCATAACAATTGTTATATATATATATATATATATTTACATATAATATTAAATTTATACTTTTATTTCTTTGAACACCAACTGTTGCTGCCTTTCAAGTTACACTTAAGATGTGTGCATCTACTACTATGAACTCATTTGAATCAACTGAGCAAACTCAAAGTCAAGACATTTCATTTCATTCTAACCTGGATGATATAATTTCAAGTGCTTCATTAAACTTGTTGTTCAGAAACAAATCCAATGCACCAATTGTTTCATCTAAAACTTCTTGAAGCTTCCAGTCTTCACCTTCTTCTGTCAATGATTCATCAACTGTCTGAAATGTATGTTCTGATGATAATTCCTTATGTTCCGAATCTAAAGATCTACAGAAAACAAATTCATATTTTTTACAGGGAAATATAATTAACCTGTAAAATTTTACTTAACAATGATCTAAAACGTTGTACGCATTGCATGGAAAAATAAATAAATCAACTGAAAAACATTTCTTGTCGATAGTGTTTGAAGATAAAATAATATAATGCACGATGATTTGAATGTTTGTTTATGTGTACAATATATTGGAAATCAAGAAACCCACACACGTTGTCAAGCTATGGTGTGCAGTTAACAGAACAATAATACCCCTAAAGGAACGTAGCCTCAAATTTCCTAGACGTATCATTGAAAATGTGAAGGAACCATAACATTCTAAGAAAGCTTACATCACTGGAGGAGAATATAAAACTTGAGACGTCACTAATCGCTAGGTTAGCCGCAAATAATACGTGCGGTTTTTGTTTAGCGTTACCAGAGAGTGATGGACAGACTTCAGTTAATATACTATAAAGAAAACATTATAAAAAAAAATGGTGGAGAAACAAAAAAAAGAGAAATATGCAGGTACCAAAAGGCAATGATTTTAAAATGATAATTACATTTATTCGGTTAACAAACTAAGCCAAAAAAAAGAGGGTAACAATGCTGGAGAGATGATTTGCTCTAGCAATGATACGAGTCATCGTTTAAACTTTTAAAAGTTCAATGCTCTTTTAGCACATCAGTAAGCAGCCATATATATATATATATATATATATATATATATATA